TTCATAGTGCAGCTGTCACTGTAATCTAATTTTCAACATTTTCCTCACCCCAAAAGGAAACACCACCCATTAGCAGTCAAGCCCCAACCCCCCTGTTGAGTTTTTATATATTCTGGATACTAGCCCCCTGTCTTGTACATGATTTTCTCCCATTCTGTGGCTTGTCTTTCACTTTCTTGGTAGTGTCCCTTGACAAACAAAAGTGTCTAATTTCAATGAGATGTAATTTGTTTTTTCTTGGTTGCTTGTGCTTTTTGTGTCATTTTAAGAAACAACAGCCTAGGAATTTCCCTGGTGGTCCAGTGGTGAAGACTCTGCTCTCCCAATGCAGGGGGCCCGGGTTCGATCCCTGGTCAGGGAACTAGATCCCGCATGCTGCACTGAAGATTGCACGCCACAACTAAGACCCAGTGCAGCCGAATAAATAAATATTTTAAAAAATAGTAAGAAGAAACCACTGCCTAACCCATAAAATTGAGTTTTGAGCATTCTTTATACATTCTGCTCACAACTCCTTTGTCAGATTTGCGTTTGGTAAACATTTTCCTCCTAGTCTAGGCTTGTCTTTTCATCCTCTTAACACAGTGTTTAGAAGAGAAAAAAGTTTTTTAATTTTGAGGAAGTTCAATTTGTTGATTGTGATCCTTCCCAAAACACCCGCTCTTGTGGACATCTGTCGTTCTTTTTGACTGTCCTATATTAGAACACCTTTACTGCTATCAGAAAAATTTTCCAAAACTGGGAAGTAAGACAAAAAGGGAGCCACCCATCATTTTAAAGAATAAAACAAATATCCAAGAATCTACAGTGATACAAACACATCAAAGAGATGAACCAGGGAGGACTCCTGGGGTTTTGGTAACACAACTGAGTGGTTTTACTTTTTCCTCAATTCCAAAACCACCACAATATGGCTTCTGCCCCCCCAACAACTTATTCAAACTCCCCTAGCAAAGTTCCCAGTGACCTCATATTCTCAAACCTAGTGTATCTCTTTTTTTTTTAAATTAGTTAATTAATTTATTTATGTTTCCTGTGTTGGGTCTTCGTTTCTATGCGAGGGCTTTCTCCAGTTGTGGTGAGCGGGGACCACTCTTCATCGTGGTGCGCGGGCCTCTCACTGTCGCGGCCTCTCGTTACGGAGCACGGGCTCCAGACGCGCAGGCTCAGTAGTTGTGGCTCATGGGCCTAGTTGGTCCGCGGCATGTGGGATCTTCCCAGACCAGGGCTCGAATCCGTGTCCCCTGCATTGGCAGGCAGACTCTCAACCACTGCGCCACCAGGGAAGCCCCAAACCTAGTGTATCTCTTCAGCCTTTATCTTATCTGACCTCTCCGCGGCTTTTGCTGGTGCCAATCATTTCCTCCTTCTTGAAAACCACTTCTTAACTTGTTCCATGACCACATGTTTTTCTAGTACATTTCATTCCCTCTTGAGGATGTCTCCTCGGTGTTTTAGACTAAATCCTCTTCCTGTACCTGTTCCGTTAATGGAGGTGTGCCCCGGGGCTCCACACTTGACTTACACAACTCACACTGGTCCTCTCTTGTAGGCTTATAGTTTTATCAACACAATATACAGGTGGCACCCAAATGTATGTCTCTGGTTCCTTCCTTCAAGCTCCATATCCAAATGTCCAATGGCCTGCTGTACATCTTCACCTGAGGGTTCCATAACACTTCCACCTCCCCATGTCAATAACTGAATTCTTCACAGCACCCGAGCCCTGTAATCCTCTCTCAGTTTTGAGCAACACCATTTATTTAGTTGCCCAAACAAGAGACCTGGAAGTTGTCCTCAATTCCTCCCTTTCCATTATCCCTAGATCCAACCAATCACCTCCTAAACACTGGATTCTACCTCTTACAGATTTCAGCCATCTGTCCACACATCTTCATCTCCACTCTCACTATTACCCTGGTTCAGATCCTGGTCTTTGGCTATGTCGAGTGTGAGGTCCAGGTGATATCCATTGGGCAGTTGGACATTTAGATCTGAAGGAGAGAGACATTAAAGTGTGAGGAACAGACCAAGCGTGGGGCCCCTGGAGGCATGTCCATTAAAGGGCCAAGCAGGAAGATGATTCAGCCTCAGAAGGCACTGTCCGAGGCTGATATCCAAAACATATCAGGAGGGGACCTCCCTGGTGGTACAGAGGTTAAGACTCCCTGCTCCCAATGCAAGGGGCCCGGGTTCGATCCCTGGTCAGGGAACTAGATCCCACATGCCGCAACTAAAGGATCCCGCATGCCACAGCTAAATACCTGGTGCAGCCAAATAAATAAATAAATATTTTTTAAAAAAATATCTATATATATCAGGATAACGTCATGAAAGGAGAGGGGGAAAAAAGTTTCCAAGGAGGACGTAGCTGGCATTATTGCATACCATGAAGGGATTAAGTCAAACAAAGGCTGAAAAGAGCCCAGTAACATTGACAATATGAGGTCACTAGAGACTATACCAGTTCTCACAAATACCATAAATTTAGCAGTTTAAGACCACAAAGTTACTATCTTACAGTTTCTGTAGGTCAGGAGCCCAGCAGGGTGTAACTAGATTCTATTCTCTCCTTGGCGTCTTACCAGGCTAAAGTCAAGGTGTCAGCTGGGGCTGCAGTTCTCACCTGGGACCCAGCGACCTCTTCCAAACTCACTGGTTGTTGGCCAAATTCATTTTCTTCTCCTGCTTTCCACCTGGCCCCCTCCATCTTCAAGCCAGCACTGGCAGTTGAGTCTTTCTCATGCTTTTTATTTTTTTTTATTTTTTTTTTTATTTTGCGGTACGCGGGCCTCTCACTGCTGTGGCCTCTCCCGTTGCGGAGCACAGGCTCCGGACGCGCAGGCGCAGCGGCCATGGGTCACGGGCTCAGCCGCTCCGAGGCATGTGGGATCTTCCCGGACCGGGGCACGAACCCGTGTCCCCTGCATCAGCAGGCAGACTCTCAACCACTGCGCCACCAGGGAAGCCCCTGTCTCATGCTTTGAGTCTCTCTCACTTCTTCCTTCCTCTTTGTTTGTAAGGCTCATGTGACAACATTGGACCCACCTGGTAGTCAACCTATCTTAAGGGCAACTGATTAGTAACCTGAGTTACATCTGCAAAGTCCCCTCTGCCATGTAATGTAACATAATTGTGGGAGTAAACACCAGAGGGTGAAAGTCATGGGGCCAAAATGTTACCTACTGTGGACTTTTCTAGAGGGTTTTGAATTATTGGGATGAAAACCATACTGTGGCAGTTTGGGAAGTGAGGTAAAAATGAGTCTAGATCTCTGTCAAGAAGCTTGGATAAGAAGAGGAAAGAGACAGCAATGACTAGAGGGGCACTTGGCTTAAGGGTGGAAGGGGGTTGCTGGCTGTCTCTTCCATTGTGCACTGGGTGCTATGAACCACCCAGGTCCGACCTCATCTCTGAGCTCTTGACTTTTATCCAATGGCTGACTTGACATTAAATAGATGCCCAGTGGGCATCTCGAACTCAACTCATTCCAAACAGGACTCTTGATTTCTCATGTCCAGACTTTTCCCCCATGGCACATTAACCACTCAACTGCTTTAGCAAAATCCCAGGAGTCATCCTTGATTCCTCTCTTCAGTTCATCTCCACACCAGTCCACCAGCCACTTCTGTAGACTCCATCTTCATCCACTCCACCCTAATCCAAGCCACCATTATCTCTCTCCTAGACTGCTTCATAACCTTCTAATTGGTTCCTCTGCTTCCGTCTTGGATCACACAATCCATTCTCCGCTCAGCAGCCTATACCTTTCTCACCCTTTAAAGTACACCAGAGCCCATATTTTCCCAGCTACAGCCATGCAGTGGTGCCTTATCACACTTGGAATTAAACCCAAGTTCTTTAAAGCCCTCTGTGACCTGGCCTCTGCCCAGCTCTCCACCACCCTCTCCTTCTCTCACTTCACTCCAGCTACCATGACCTGCTTCCCACTCTCAGCCACATCAAGCTCATTTTTGCACTAGGGTCTCCCCTGCTTGGAACACCCTTTACTTGGAACTCTCTTTCCCCAGATCTTCCCCCAGCAGGCTCCTTCTCATCTTTGAGGTCTCAGCTTCAATGGCATCTCATCTGAGAGACTTTTCCTGATCCCCTGACTTAGAGTATGTCCCCCATCACTCTCTATCTCATCCCTTGTTTTATTTGTATGGCTCTTTTCATTACCTGTTACATTCTTGTTTATTAATGGTATTTGTTGTCTGCTCCTTGCCCACTAGAACACCAGCTCCCTGAAGACCTTGTCTAACTTTTTGGCCGTCATTTCTGAGACCCGAGAAGAGTATCTGGTCAAAGTTGGCACTCAAAATACGAATAAGTGATTTCAACAAATAACTCTGGAGCGTGGATTCTGGTTCTAGGCCTCCGGTTGCAAAGACACCATGGAGAATCCAATGATGTTCAAGGCCAAGCAGAGTGGAGATGAGGGCTTTGACTCACCACATTCACGGTGGTTATCAGGGCCTTCCCCACGTTCTGGCACGGGCACGCTTCAGAAATTTCCAGAGATAATACATTTTACAAACTTCATGCCAGCCTTACGCCTACACGTGCTCACCATGACCCTCCCCAGAAATTCCCTATGGAGCACTGACCCTCAACTCTGGTTAGTCACGTGTTCCTTGGGAGTTGTACCTGTCAACCCCGGGACTTCGAAATTTCTTCTGGTCAAATCAACAAGCTCTTTCCAAGAAGAAATGGCAAAGACGTGTACGCCTTCCTGTGTGTGCCTGTGTGTATCTGTACTGAATCAGGCGTCTGCCCACCTTGAGGGTAACCTCAGCATTTCCTTCCAGCCCTGCTTTCACCCAGCCTTGGGTGGCAGACTTTTGAAAGTGTTTTCTGGGAAAAAGCTGAGTAATGATTTTGCCATGGGTGGGACAGTGATCTTCCTCGCCATTGGCCCTTTATATAGCTCCTGAAGACCACGGCGAGCACATCTGGCTCCAGGAGCGGTTGCTGAAGCAGCCTCGCTCTCTCCCGCCATGGTCTCCCACTCAGGTACCACGGGGTGCCGTGGCCGCGGGGCACAGTTGGGTCTCACCAGACAGAGAGGAAGACTGGAGGGGCTCAGCCACTGCTGGACAAAGGCTTGAGCGGTTGAAGCCGGTGGCGGGGGGGGCTGGGGTGTGTGGCCTTGGCTCCTCCCGGCATCACCTTCTTTCTCCAGGATCTGCCAGGTTTGCCCTGTTCCTGTTCTGCTGTTCGGGAGCCTTGCTGTCCTCCCATATGGTACCCTATGTGCTAGGACCAGATAAACAACAAGCTATAATCAAGGAATTACGGTCCTCGTTTGAGAAACTCTTGAATGACTACGTAAGTGCCCTCGAGATTTCTTTTCCAAGCCATTTCTTTAAAACGCCTTCTATTGCCCCAAGAAGAAGGCTACTCTTTTCAGACCAGAAGCTAGGGCTGTGGATACACCAGGAAGGATTGGGAACAACTAGACAGGCTAGGATGGAATTTGTATGAAGGTGTGAGGTCAGAGGCAGAGATTAGCCCGGACAGCCCCAAACGCAACAATTTCTCACGCACTGCTGCTTTAGTAGGCTGTTCATCCCTAACATATTCAGTTTGCAGTAATAGTAAATGATTTTCCCTCCCATAGCACATCCCTGGAGATGGGCCATCTTGCCCACCTATTCAGCAGCCCCCCAAGGAGCAGCCAATGCCAGCCTAAGCTGTAAACGATAGCCCAGCGAATGCAGGATGTTAAAATGCTTGTGTGAGTTACAAAGAGTGTCTCTTACAGCAGATCAGGGCAGTTCACAAATTAGGTGTCTGTGTGCGTTGCTACTTTATTTAATTAGGACACAGTCGGCTTCTAGCAGAGGCTCTGCTGAACCTGACCCATGGTTGGGAAAGTATGAGGCTGAATAAATACAAATACTCTTTCAGTTTCTCAGGGTTGTGGTCAAGACTGAAGCTCTTAGGCAGCTTTGACTGAACAAACAGATAACAACATGTGGAAACGTTTCGTGAAATCGGCCTCGCTCTTCCCTTCCATTCTGGCATTTAAAGCTTAGCCTTGGCTTCTACAGACACAAAGGCGGAGGTTGTTAGCTCAGGTGACCAGGCAGCTCAGGCTGATGAGGTGCTTCTAGTCCTTAGGAAGAGGAATGGGAGAGGGTGTGTTCTGGAGTCCATAGTGTGTTTGGATAAACTCTCCCTGGCATCTTGGAGGCCTTTCCAGAGCAGCGTGAATCCCCCTCTGTGAGCGGGGGATATAATGACTTTAACACAGCGTCACGAAGAGCAACGAGCTGCATGGAAACCCAGGTGCTTTCCTCTTCCCCACCCACACAAGGCTGTGCAGTCCTTGGCCAGAGGGGGCAGAGGAGGTAGGTGGGGCAGCGCTTATTAGCACAGGCTTTGGAATTGCTGCCTAATGTGGGTTGGAATCTTGCTGTGCCACCTGATCTTGCACCAGCTTCACAAACCAACCGAGCTTCCATTTCTTCCGGGGATGGGGAGAGTGACGGTCACAGCCTCGCAGGGTTGTAGCACCGACTAGATGAGCTGGTGAGGGGAAAGCACTGCCCAGGCCCTTCACAGAGGAGGCATTCAGGCCTTAGTTGTCGGGATTTCTGGCTGTTTTGCAAAACTAATGCTCACCCACTTCCCCTCCTCCTTGCACAGCAGCAGGAAGAGAGCGGAGTGCCGGAATCCAGCCAGTACCAGACGCCGTATTTCGCTCTGAACCCCCAACTGCCATACAACATCGACAGCTCAGCCACCTTGCCTTATTGCAGAGCGATCAAACCATTTTTCGGTAACAAAGCTCAAATTGTTGCCATCATAGACCATCTCAGTAAACTCGAATTTTGACGTGAACCAGAAACAAAAGTTTCTGTGCCTACAGATAGCTTTAAATGTAAAAGCTTCATCGTGTCTATTTTAAAAAAGTTTTCAGAGTGCCTGATCTGTTTAAATCATTGAACACTGGAGCCCAGTAGGTCATTTAAAGCCATCTGGTTGAACCTGGTCCTTTTGGAATGGCAGAAATGCATGAAGGCTTAAAAAAAAAAAAAGAGTGACAGCTAAGTGTGAGAATTCTGCTGTGAGTTATTAAGTAAATTATTCTAATTATAATCTCAATGAAGCCTCAAAATTGCCAGTCCTGGGAGGACTGAGATATAAATGTATGAGCTGCCTTGGAAAAGATTTCAAGTTATGTCGTTATATATAGAATGTTTTTCATCTGAAGACTTAAATCTTATTATACTCTTGGGATGGCAGGAGGTGGCAGCTATGTTAATTTATTGATATTTATCATATTGAGATTGTTAATGCTCCTTGGAGGAGCCCTTGGAAACTATTTAATAAACGATATTGAATTTTTCTCATACTCTGTTTTGCATTTTGTGTGTGGGTGAAAACTGGTGACTGGGAATCCAGGCAGGGTAGTGAGGGGGCTTGGGACGTGTTGCAGAAACAGCTTCTCTCTGTCACTGCTATTTCTCCTCATCGGACAGGCTTAGTGCAAAGAATATTAATTCTAGCAGCAATAACCTTTCACTGGGCATTTTCTTGCCAGGGCTTGTAAGTTCCACTCTTGTCCTCTTTTTATAGGTGGGGAAACTGAGGCAAGAAGTCATTTCTGTCACTTGTCCAAGGCCACATGGCTGTTAAGTGGCGGCACCCAGATTCAAGCCTACTCTTCACCACTCTGCCAAACTCTGTCCCTCCCTGGGCAGCAACTAGGTCTTTGAGACACTTAATACCATGCCTGGCACACAGCAATCATTCATGTGTCTGGTACTGCCTGGTACTCCACTGGATTTCCGGTGCCTCTGCTCCTGCAAAGGTCTGTTCCATCATTTCACCAGTAACTTCACAGCCAGGGCCAAGGACTGAATCATTTGAAGAGATGAGTCCACGGCTGTTAACGGTTCTGAGAGACCATCTGGACCAACGGTTCTCCAAGTGTCCTCTCTGGGTCAACAGCGTCACCTGGCAACACGTTAGAAATGCAAATCCTTGGGCCCCACCCCAGACCTACTGCATCTGACACTTTCGGGGTGCAGCCGGCAACCTGCACTTGAACGAAACCGCCCGGTGATTCACATGCGTGCTCCAGCCTGAGAACTTAACTGGGAGGAAACTGAAGCCCAGAGAGAGAGTATGATTTGCCCAAGTTCTTGTATGAGGGGCACGAGGTTAGGACTCCGAGATACGCAGTCCAGCCTTGGTTTCTTCTCATTCTTACTTTTGTGGGTATTTCTTTTTTCTTTTTCTTTTTCGGCCACGCCACACAGCTTGCAGGATCTTAGTACACTGACCAAGGATTGGACCCGGGCCACGGCAGTGAAAGCACCGAGTCCTAACTACCGGACCACCAGGGAAGCCCCTCTTGTGGGTATTTCTACTCCAGACCCACACCAGGCTTGTAAAGCCCCCGAATGTCCCAGCCCCCAAAGACAATGTTTTGGTCAATCCTTCCACAAACACCCACTGTGGTTGGCTGGACATCTATCATTCTTTTTGACTGTCCTATATTGGAACACCTTTACTGTTATTAGAAAAATTATCCAAAACAGGGAAATAAGGCAGAAAGATGACCATATGTCCTCCCAAAGAATAAAACTAACATCTACTGTTCTGTAGTGATATAAATAAATAAATAGAGGAAAAGGAAAAAAATGTTCCTTACAGAATTCTAGTTAATAAACATAGAAATGAGGAAAATCACCATGAAGCACCACAGCAGTTATTGCTGCAGACAAGACCCACAGATGGAAGCCGAAATTAATGGGGGAAATGGAGGAGAAACAGGAAATTTGCATGGCCTCCCGGCATCTGCCTCCCAATATTTACTAATTATTGTGGTGGTTTTACCTTGTGTCCACGAATTCTTTGATATTCCCCCTCCAGGAGGTGCAGCTGGACACCACTCCCCTTGACAGTAGGCGGGACGGTGGCTTGCTTCTAAAGCACAGAGTAGGGAAGCAAAAGACAGCAACTCAGCGGCAGGGACACGGTTGACACCTCCCTGAGCAAGGGGGCAAGGTCAACACCACCTGTAGTGACATAAACACCTCCAGTCAGGGTGTCGGGGGCTCCCGATATATCATGATGGGAAGGGCACCCCCTCACCTCTGTGGGACTCTTCCCCCAAATCCACAAGCCCAGCGTCCTCCTGAGAAAATATCAGACACACCCAAATTGTGGGATAATCTGCAGAATCCCTGACCAGTCCTCTTCAAGTGTCAGGGTTAGGAAAGTCAAGGGAAGACTGAGAAATTATCACAGAGTGGAGACCAAGGGGACATGATCATTGGATGCAATCTTGGAGGGGATTTGAAAAAGATATTAGCAAAAAAACTAGTGGAAACCCAAATTAAGCCTGTACTAGTGTTAATTTCTTAGCTTTGATAGATGTGGCTGGGTTATGTAAGACTTCACATTTAGGAGAAACTGGAGAAGGGTGTATGGGAACTCTGTACTATCTATAACTTTGCTGTATTTCTAAATTTATTTCAAAATAAAACATTTTTTTTAAAAATCCAGGGGACTTCCCTGGTGGCGCAGTGGTTAAGAATCTGCCTGCCAATGCAGTGGACAAGGCTTCAATCCCTGGTCCGGGAAGATCCCACGTGCCGCGGAGCAACTAAGCCCGTGGGCCACAACTACTGAGCCTGCGCTCTAGAGCCCGCGAGCCACAACTACTGAGCCCGTGCACTCTAGGGCCCAAGTGCCACAACTACTGAGCCTGCGTGCTGCAACTACTGAAGACCTCGCGCCTAGAGCCCGTGCTCCACAACAAGAGAAGCCACCGCAATGAGAAGCCCACACACCGCAACGAAGAGTAGCCCCCGCTCTCTGCAACTAGAGAAAAGCCTGCGCGCAACAATGAAGATTCAATGCAGCCAAAAATTTAAAAATTAAAAAAAAAAAATCAAGTGCCGCTGACTCACAGAGAAGAGGAAAACAAGTAATCAAGGGTCACAGAGAAGAAAACACTAATATGATAATAGGACTTACTTTTTTCAGGGGGAACTTTTTGAGACTGAGCTCAAACTTTAGAGCTAAAACTTGCTCAATTTATAAAGGAAGAGTCAGGAACACAAAGCTGTAAGAAAAACACTTTTAAGCAATGTCATATTCTTATTCTGGAGATTTAAAACATGAGAGGAAAAATCAAAAGGACATAGAAAAGGCAACAGATAACGAGAGAGAGAAGAGAGGAGAGGGGAGAGAAGAGAAAGGAATGCTTCAATGTGAAAACAAGAAATCAAACTGCCCGTAAATGTGAAACTCGGCTGAACCTCACTGAGTAACCAAGAAAGGCAAATAAACAGAAGGCTCTCTTTCCCGCCCATCCAATCAGCAGAGGTTTTACAAGAGCTCGGGCTTGATGATGAGGCTGTGAAAGGCCTACTCACCCACTTCTGGAAACAGGTGCCTGTCTTATAAAAGGATGCTATCCCTCACTGGGGAACCCTCCCCGGGTATTCTCTGCTCACGGAATTTCCTAAGGAGATGATCGTAACTGGGACAGGATATACACACTGACGTGTTCATAACAGCATTGATGAGAAAACAAACAAGGAAACAAGAGTGGAAGCAACCTGTGTTAGTCGAGGCCATCCGAGGCGCAGATCCGGAGACGGGATTGGCCGCGAAGAAAGGTTTATCCGCAGACAAGCCCGTAAGGGGAAGTGGGGGAGGAAGAGGCAGGCCTGGCCTGCGCTGAAGAGAGAAGGCAGGAGGGCAGGAAGCGGCATCTCACCCTGAGGTGCTTTGCTGAGAGAGATCAGCAAGGCTGTCAGGAAATCCTCCAAGTCACTTGTCAGAGGGACCTCGTGCCTCCCAGGAGTGAGGCAGCCTCGGTGTCCCTGCCGCCCTGTCACTGGCTGGGAGGGGCCTGTGGGGGACAAGGGCCCTGCGTGATGGGCCGCTGGGCTTCAGAACACAGCAGCTGGGACCCCCAGTCCACTAGCTTCTCAAAGTAGGAGATCTGAGAGGCACATTTTCATGGCTGCCATGTGACCCAAATGACTAAAAATAAGGAAATGGCAAAAAACCAAAAACCAAAAAAAAACCCTATTGTGTCTCTTTAAGATGGTATTATGTGGCTATTCAAAATCATTTCCTCAAAGAATACTTAATGGTATTGTAAAATGCTCCAAATGTGATGTTTATAGAAGCAGGATACAAAACTGTCATTCTCACTGAGTTTAAAAATGTGTGTATATAACTATATAGTATAGGGACAGAAAGCAAGACTGGAAAAAAGTATCTTTGGGGATGAGGATAATTTTCTTTATATTTTTATGGACTTTCCAAATTTTCTAAAATTAATATGTATTATTTTAGAAATCAGTAAAATAAACACACTTTAAATTTTGAAATAAATAGCTGTCCGAGAAGAGAGGATGAAAAACGGAGAGCTTTGAAGGGTTTTACACACATGGGTAAAGGTAAAATTCTTTGGCTGTCCCAAGGCTGTTCACCACAGTAGCGGGCTTGTAAAGTCTGTCATTTCTTCTCACTGATCTCTGAAATTAGACTAGAGTTCCCTGTTCTGCTCTTCAGACTCCCAGCTGAATGGCACAACCAAAGCAGAGCATCAGGGCGGATTATTCCTTGCATATAACCGATTTTTCAGTGTAACCAATAGTAGTTCTCTCAGCCCTTCTATGGACTCTCCAAAACTATAGTATTTTATAATGAGAAGGAATATTCAAAATATTACTTCTGAGGCTCTGTGACATCCCAACTCTATTAATTTACTTATTCAAGGGCCCTGGAAACATTCTTCCCCAACAGCATTGGTGTAAAAGCAGATATTCTTGGGTTCCAGTTTCTGGTCCTCTATTTAGGACCAGATGTAACTTTACGTAAACCACTTCATCTCTCTAAAGTATGCAATTTAGCTGTGTGTGTGTCTGTATGTAAGTATATTCACAGAGTTGTGCAACCATCACCACAATCTA